AGTCTCCTTTGCTCAAGGCTGAACAGATTCAGTTCCGCTAACCTCTCCTCGTAAGACATTCCTCTAAGACCAGGAATCATTCTCGTAGCTCTTCGTTGCTCCTTTTCTAAGGCAGGAATGTCCTTCTTGAGGTATGGTGACCAAACCTGCACAAATGATAGGACTGGGGTAAAGTAATTTTCTCTGATGAATCCCCTTTCCGATTGTTTGAGGCATCTGGAAAAAAGACTGTGAGATTGTGAGGAAAAAAAGGTGAGCACTACCATCAGTCCTGTGTCCTGCCAACAGTAAAGCATCCTGAGACAATTCATGTGTGGGGCTGCTTCTCAGCCAAGGGAGTGGGCTCACTCACAATTTTGCCTAAGAACACAACCATGAATAAAGAATGGTACCAAAACATCCTCCGAGAGCAACTTCTCCCAACCATCCAAGGACAGTTTGGTGACGAACAATGCCTTTTCCAGCATGATGGAGCACCGTGCCATAAGGCCAAAGTGACAATTAAGTGGTTCGGGGAACAAAACATCGACGTTTTGGGTCCATGGCCAGGAAACTCCCCAGACCTTAATCCCATTGAGAAATTGTGGTCAATCCTCAAGAGGCGGGTAGACAAACAAAAACCCACAAATTCTGACAAACTCCAAGCATTAATTATGCAGGAATGGGCTGCCATTATTCAGGATTTGGCCCAGAAATTGACTGACAGCATGCCAGGGCAAATTGCAGAGGTCTTGAAAAAGTAGGGTCAACACTGCAAATATTGACTCTTTGCATAAACTTAATGTAATCGTGAATAAAAGCCTTTGACACTTATGAAATGCTTGTAATTATACTTCTGAAATCGATAGAAACATCTGACAAAAAGGTCTATAAACACTAAAGCACCAAACTGAAAAACCAATACTTTTCTCAAAACCTTTGGCCACAATTGTATTTTGGTAGGACATTCTTCTGCATGCTTTTTTCCAAGGCATTTTATATTATGCATAATCCTTTATTGGCCATTGCACAAGTGCAAGTATAGGTACGTAGGAATTTATCTCTTCACCAACCTCAACTTTGGAAGTAGGCCTGAAAGCGTCTGTGATCTGTGGTGACAATTTCTTTCTTTCTCTATGCATTTGTAACTTAAGGTTTTGTGTTGATTGGTTTTACCTGGTTACTGAAGGATTACTTTAAGCAGTTAATGGAAATGATATTATGTTGGAAATAATGACAATTTCCCCATGGGGATCAATAAAAGTATCTATAATAATAATAATAATAATAATCATCATCATCATCATCTTTCTTTGTATATTGCAGCATTCTTCTAGAAGAGCACTTTCATTTGTTCTCTTCTATAGTGTTTAGTATTGGAACATTAAACCTCTGAGTATTTGTAGACCAAGTAACTTGCATTACAGACAGTGTTATGCTGCAGCAGTTAGTAAATGGAATCTTTTGATTTTTGAGAACAATTAAAGAGTGCATGTGTAAGATTAAAGAATAAGCCATGCCATGTAAATATGTCTGAGCCACACTTTATGGCAGCTGGTCTTGCATATTGATTTTTCAATTTCTTATTGGCTTTATAACATTCACCCAGTTCCGTTCAGATTTACACTGATTAATGCTGCTCAATTATTCAGATTAATCATGTTACAATTCTGTGGATCGCTGTACTGTAAGTGCATTCACTGAAGTCTTAGGGAATGGCTTGTATTTGAAATCTCTTCCATGCCAAGTGGAGAATTCTTTATGGTCTTAGGAAGATTTCATTAAAATGTTGAAGGTAATGTGTTATGGCAATGGGAATAGGCGGACATGTGGATGACCTCCTCCTCCCACAATGTTATGCACCAGATATGTTTTCTGTGCTCTTTTCTGCCCCTAATGATGAACACAGGTACCTTGACATCTTTGTGCCAAGATGAGGCCACATCATGTAAACACCGCAGGGAAAAGGACTTTGACTTGTTGACTTTGCCACATCTGGACAGGTTTATATTTGGAGAAAGCCAAAAGATGCCTGCCACCCACAATCAGGATCCGTAATGTTATGGATAACTGTCCCATGGGAGTCACTATGTCTGATTATTGCTCTACATGGTTATATAATGGCCAAGTAGTGTGAAGCCATTTTATAGGACCAGATGCACCCTATGTTGCAAACATTGTTCTCTTATGACATCCCCATATTGATAATGACTCATACACACTGGTAAAGAAGTACAAGTGTGATTACATGAGCATCAGCATGTAGTCAAACACCATTGATGGTCTCCCAAATCACCAGAACTAAACATAATTGAATCTTTGTAAGAAGGTCTGGAAGTTTTTCTAAGTCCTTTATGGAACCTTAAAAGTACCGGAGGCTATTCTTTGTGGAGAATGATACAGCATTCAACCACAGCACTTCTATGATAGAATTCTAAGAAAGACTGAAGCTAAACTGTTCTGAAGTCAAATGATGGTCCTACTCCTTATTATCTCTTTGAAATTAACTTGATGATATTTGTAATTTTGTACCCATTTATAAATTTGCTTTATTCATCCTCACTGGGGAAATTGGGTGGTTCTTCACATATCGTGTCTTACTCCCTAAGAATCACATAAACACATTCGGGTGAGTGCAGTGCTTCAGTTCAGATCGTATGGTCAGCCAGCACCCAGGGTCCCTGGAGCATTTGGGGTGAAGGGCATAACTCAAGGGCCCAACGGTGGCATCACTGTGCCATCCACAGGATTTAAACTGGCAACCTCCTGATCACAGGCACACGGGTACACACACAGGTGTACTATCCTGCAGAGACAAACTGCTGAGAATGACATTTTTGGTCAGGACTCATCTGGGAGTTAATCCCAGGCCCGCTCACAAAGCGACGCACAAGAAACGCACAAGTGACGTACAAGTGATGCTATTCTGTTGTACTAAAGGACTGAGTATGTTTACCCATGGAGTGAAACGTGCCGATTTTGTAGCTAACATTTTTACCTCTTTGGCAACTTTCAATAATTTTATGTTGTGTAAATTATGTCATAAACAATTTCTCACTTTGAGATTTATTTATTTACTTACTTTGCAGGCAATCAGCTTAGTAGGCTTTCTCAAAAAAAAAAAACAGAAAAACGGCATAAAACCTCATGACGGCCACCGTGTTACATGAGGCATGTGGCACTAAAGAAGTCGGTTTCCACAGTAGATGGGGCATTTCTATCACCGGGGGGATGTCTGTAGACCCTGTTGATAAGACTATGAAGGTTTGGCAGGAACAGTGATTCAGATCTCAAAACATAAAGGGGGAAAAAGAAATAATTACATTTTTCTCACCTATTCCTCCCACAGGCTTTCAAAAGTGCCACAATGAGCTCATACTGGTGTGCAGGGAAGGGTGATGTAATCGAGAACTGGTGTCGCTGTGACCTGAGTGCCTTCAGCAAGGATGGCCTGCCCAACTGCAGTCCCCTCCGGCAGCCCGTGTAAGTCACAGGCCAGCAGTCTGCCTATACTGGGAATATCAACCCGACTCTTCCCGATGGAGACATGCTGCATTTATTTTTCATGTAACATATTATATTTACAGTTCTTTGCATATGGTGTGAGCCAGATAGATTTGCTTGCTTAGCTGACAGCAGATTCATCTGAAAATTTAGCACAGAATATAAATGTATATTCTCTGACCAACTGTGAGGCCAACAGTGATATATTTATTTAGAATTTATTTTGCCCGTTTTGACATAAGTGACATTATGTTTTGCCCTACACAATATCAGTGCAGTATGTCTTACATTAATTTATTCCCAGAGTTGGGTAATTCAGGTCCACAAAGTCCAGACCAGGATTTTTGTTTCAACCAACCAGTTGAGAACTCTGTGACTGTGACTCTTTATGCTCATTTGGTTGGTTAAAACAAAATCCTGGTCTGGACTTGTACTCTCTGGACCTGAATTACCCGCCTCTGTTTATTCATTCCTCCTTCCTTCTTGGAGGCAGGTGGCCTTTATGCCACAAACATTTCCATGATCGGGTCTCCGGAGGGGCACTGATGTTGTACCCTTGAATTCTACACACTCTATAAATTGGATAAGAGGAATTGCTGTTGAGTAGAACTGTAGTTTATGTCACTGTAAGTGACCCCTTCTGCCACGTGACTGAATCATTCTTTGTTTTTCTCTTGTTGCAATATAAGCCTTCGTCTAGCTCCTCACCTTGAGCCCTCTAGCACAATGGTGGCCCTGGAGTGGTTGGATGTGGAGCCTCTCATTGGCTGCAAGGTTTCTGATTACATCATACAGCATAAGAAGGTGGAGGACCAATCAGAAGCAGAGATCTATACAGGTAAGGTAGGGCTTTTCAGAGTGGAGGAGACGTAATGTAGTGACAGAATATAGTGCATATTTATAAGCTTTAATGTTATATATTTGTAATGGTATCATGCTGCATTTTTCCTCAAGATAGTGATTTAGGCAACCCAGGTTCAGATACCATTTGATAATCATCACAGTGGTATGAATGCTTATGCAGCGAATTGTACCTGCACAAAAAAAATATTGAGTAGGTATGTGTGAATATGTGCATTTAAAGGTATGCAACCTCAATATGTCGAGGTGCACTTCTGCTGAGTATTCCACTGGTACAACCCTATTGCCTGGTTTAATTTATTTTGCTCAACATATAGTTCATCTTCGGTCCACAAGCAGAACAAATCAGACACACAGGAATTCACAAAAGGTCTAAATCTAAGGCAGGCACAGCTGAAGGAATATTAGATCAACAGCTTAAGGTGAACAAAATGAGTGCCTTTTAATTATGTGAAGGAGACACAACTGCTTAAGTCAACCTTACGAGAAGAATTCGGCCCAGACTGATTTGCGTTGTACAGTATGTATAATTTAACATATATATGTTTACATATAAAAATACATATTTACTGAATATTTTACAAATTGCACCGTGTACATTGTGAGGTTTTCTAGCAAACACAGCAATCTCCATTCTATAAGATAATATTTGATGGTGTAAAGTGTGTGTAACAATATACAGCTCTAAATACATTAGATTGAATGTTTTCAAACTAAAAACGCCACAGATTAGCAAAAAGAAAACAAACAAGCAGGGAAGGCAAGTGCATCTGTGTCGTGGTGGTTTAATTATAACTGGAACAAAAGAAAATTTGAGTAAATATATGCAAAAAGCAGAACACAGAGGGCAACTCTGTCTCTTAGCTGGGCCTCCAGCCCTCGGACATGTCCAGGAGACGTCCTGAGGAGAAGGAAACAGTCATTTATCCACATACAGTACAGGTGCAGCAGTGCTTGCATTTGTGGTGCAGTAACTCGCTGCCTGCAGCTGTGCACATACAGGACAGCTCCAGGTGCTGCGTAAAATCACACATGCTCCACAGACTAGGCCACAACTTCATATTGTTTGCTATGTTTTTGCTAATTATTAGAATTTTTTTTTCCTTGTGAACTTTCCCTGTGTGATGTGGACAATTTAAATGGAAATGACAGGGTTGCATCAGAAGCAGTATGCATTGAAAGACATAGAAGTGATGAATCAGATTTTTTTCAACTGCTATACCTGAATGTATCAGAGCTGTGCCGATAGTAGTTTAGAATTTCAAATGTAAATGCATTATGAGCAGAGATTTTATAATAGTATATGCACTCGAGGTGATAGAATAACCACATTTTCTGTGTTTCAAGACAATACATTTTGAAAATTTTACATCAAAGATAACATGCATTTGATGGATCAGTATATTGTCAATGTACTGGGAATGTAGTTAAGTCTCAAAGCTGTTTGTGTTAACTGCAACATTTATGGGATCCAGGAAAAAGGGCGTTTTGCCTAAAATAAATTATATTCCGTGTGGATATAATGTTACTATCATTGTTTTTAACCTAAGCAGAGGTTTGTTACATGTGCTTCAGAACAGCTTTGCATTGTGGTGTTACTGTATCAGCCAGCATTCAGATAAAAAAGGTCAAGACCACCGTGATCTGGCATTCCACATCACTTACATTTGTCAGATTCTGTTTCATTACTCAGAATTATGTTTTTTCTTGGTCTACATGATTAATCTATAATTACTGTATGTCTATATTTAAAAAAATATATATTTTATACAGTATATTGCAGTTATCACTTCTTTTAAAAACCCATTTATATATAATTTCATTTGAATTTGCTCTTGGTGTGGGGTTGTTGGACTCTTATTCAGATAAATGAGTGGTCAGTTAAATATAATATCACCTTTTTGTGTGAAAAGATTCTTTTCCTTAGGTCTAGTTCTGTAGCCACGATTAGCATGTCTCCGTATGAGAGGCAGGGGAGGCGGGAGCTGCTGAAACCAGTGAGGTCACCAGAATACGCTTTGGGTGTAAAACCTCTGGACTTGACTGCTCCACTTTTCCTTTTCACTTAGATTAAAGGTTATTCTTGTGGTTGGTATTAATGAGAGACTCTCAAAGTCTGCACAAGATGGGCTTTAGGGGAAGAAGTTTTGCATTCCCCATTAAATTTGAGTAATTTGACAGGCCCTAGTCTTGACACTGACCCTACCATGGGGAAGGTGACTCAGACCTTTGGTGATGAGCATAAAGTAAAGAACGAAAAGGTGCAATGGGGCTGATGAGGTTTTGTCACTGTTGGGTGGATGAGTAATACAGCCCTGCAGGGCCGACTGTGACGATTATGGTCATGGGAGGTGACATCCTGGACAAGAGGGGACTAGCAGCATCGTGTCATAATGTAGGGAGGGGTAGAGACTCACACTCCCTGTTAGAAAAGTACTTGAGAGAGAAGTGCTTCCTCTCCTTTTTTATTACATTGCATTGCTCCAGTTAAGAACGGCGTGGGTATAGTTTTTCTTTGTTTGGTAGTGCATGGCACCAGTGACTGTGAAAGGGGCCGGTACCTCAATGGTTATGAAGTGCAGCAGAATCGAAATTGACTTAAAGTTTGTCTGTCTTTTGTTGTTGTTGTCCTCTAAATAGAAGCCCGAGGCTTCCACACAGCTGAACATAATTAAGTCAGCAAGTTAATTCAGAAATACATTCTTAATTCATAAGCTGTGTTTTAAACTAAAAGATAGTGTGGGAACACTTTACTTAAAGCAGTCATTATGAAGCATTATAGATGCCTTCATAATGCATTATGATGCATTGATAAAGTATTACAAACACAGCTATAACTATTTATAAAAAGGCATAACACAGTATAGTCATTTTTCGTTTTTTGTCCAATGAGAACAGTACAATCTCTTGCTACTCTTCTAAAACCTTCTTGACTTTTTATGTGGCTATCTGTATGTATAGTTTTATCTCTACAGGTTTACACATTTGGACCCTTGAATGTGAATCTTATTCTGGGTGTTACGCTAAGAATTGCAGGTCTGTTTTCAGTGGAAAACCGTTGAACCATTGAACCCATCTGTTCCATCATTTCATTTCATTTTACCAGGAACAGTTGACTTGTTAACAAACATCTTACAACTTTATTATGCTTGCTGCCATGGAGTAAAAGCAAAAAAAGAGAGAAATTGCCATTTGATATATGCCAAGCTCTCCTGTTTCATGCTGGGTCATAATAAACCGTAACAGTCTGTTCTGCAATTGAGGTTTAAAACCACAATGAAGAAAAGCCTAACATCCTCCTTTCTGGAGCTCACAATGAAGAAAAGCCTAACATCCTCCTTTCTGGAGCTCACAGAGACACCAACAAGTGAGCCTTAAAACCTACAATGCAAATATGTCATTGTACTTTTACGTTTACATTTTCAAGTTGCAGACCAGTGGGTTCAATTGTGCTTTTTAACTTTATAGCATGATTATTTAATGCATTTGTTCTCGGTAAAATGTGACGGCATATCCTCATTTAGGGTCATGAACTCATATGAAGTGTTTGGACTTCATGATGTGTTCTGGAATATCTCTGTAGACTTTCAATACTAGGATAATGCTGTGCTGTTTTGAGCCATGCCTTTTATATGTGTAGAAATTTCCAGTATAAACATGGCTGTTTGGTGCATCTCCAAAAGATTAACAGCATGGATCCCTAAGTCCTTAAGCATTTAAACCGGTCCTAACCAATGAGAGGGGGGAAACATTTCTGGGGGGGGGGGTTAGTAAACCCTCAATCTGAGCAGTTCATGTCAGGAGAAAAACAGAGTAGCAGAGAAACCCACATGACATAGGGAGAATATGCAAGGCTGATTGGTCAATTTCAACAAAATTAGCTATTTACCTCAAGGAAAATGTGTTAAAGTAATTATATGTGATACAATCGTATCTGACTGATTAAAGAATTTATATTATACTTCATGTATATTAATATCTAATTCATAAATGATATATCAGAACACACTTTTTTGTATCCCACGTCTTTCCAAATTATTATCCAAATAATTATTTCTCAATTAGTGATATTTCTGATCATGACATGCACTGTTTTCAGAGGTTTGGCCAACATCATGATGTCAGATTTTATAGCCTGGCAGGAATTGTCTAAAATTTTTATCGAAGAAGGTCATGTCATTGAAGCCCAGTAAATATTTTTCCCTTCTTTAGAAGAGAGGAATTATGTTTAAATTGTAGCTCTGCAGTTTACAGGGCCAGAGGGCCACAGCATTCAATGTGGCTGCTTGGCCTGCCTTACTGAACGCTGTAGCGAAACTATCACTGACTGATCTCAGTCAAATAGGCTGCAGTAAAGCAGCCAAATAGTCATGCGTCATATTGTAAATATGCAGTATAAGTATATTCAGATTTTTTTGTAGTACTTGTCTGGATGTTTTCTTTACTTCTTCTTTTCTTGCTCTATATCAAACAAGTATCCCTTGCCCCATATTACAAGGAAGCTAGTAGACGCATCCATTGTGTTGCTTCGTGTTGTATTTTTTATGCTGCTTTTTAAAGATATCAAAAGCACAAAAATCCCACAATATGCAACAAGCAGTCATCTCTGTTTGTGTGCCAAAGTAGCAAGAACATGCGTACAACTGCATATCAGAAGTGTGTGCTCAGGCATTGTTCTGTTGGATTTCTGGGCTGTTTCAGAAGGATGTTATTTACCTGCTTCAAGCTGTGTGGATTTTTGACATCTCAGTAATGTGGAGGTGGTGTATTTTTCCCTGCCCTGGGGATCTCACTGGTTTAGCGATTAAGGGACTGGACATTTGTCTGTATAGTGGCAATGTCTGATCCCAGGGAGAGGAACAAGGTCTGCATACCTGTGAGAAAAGTAATATCTGAGTTTTGTCTTTTTCTACACTGGAACCCTAAATATGCATGTACTAATCAAACGCGTGCTGAAGTTGTCAACTGTTGGGTTGC